GCTGTTGAGAATGAATTTTAGGGCGCAGAGCTGTGAAGCCTGGGGCACTGGTGGGTCTGGAAACCATCGTATTATTCTGGTTCCCAAAACTCAGTTCTTTATTTCAGTGTTAGTTTGTGATCAATCTAATGGAATGAGAAAATTAAAGGAGGTTCAGTCAGTTTTTCACAAAGCCAAATATTGTTCAATTTTAAAGGACTTCTTTAGTTCGAAATTATGGGCCTCCCAACTTTTGTGGGGGTAAATTGTCCGATCATCTATGCAATTATGGTGACAGTAAATTATAGGCTTTAAAAGTGTGCGTGTGTATGTGTGTGTGTGTGTGTGTGCGTGTGCGTGTGTGTCCGTCCTAGCCTTCAAGTAAAGAACCAGCTGGCCCCTCTGGTTCTCCAGATGTCCTTCTGAGATTTGGGGGGAGGTCTGTGAAATCCATGAGTGGGAACACCTAGTTGAGGCAGTGGGGAAAGCGTGGGAGGCACCTAAGAGGAGAGATGCAGGTGGAGTCTATAGGATAAGATGCTTGACCGTCCAGATCTTAACTATACTTTGTATGCACGTGACTCTCTTGCTGAATCTCAAATAATCAGATTGTTTTTCACAACAGCCTCATGACTACCTCCTTTGGATCAATTGTATTATAAACACATTTTATGAATACATAATACATCTTCACATTTATCCCCTTATTCCATTCTTAGAAAATCATGTCTCGTTTTATACTGACACCATAGTCCTCACGTAAAACTCCTTCTTGAGCAATCATTTGACAGTAAGATGAGTGTGGGATTCCTCAGCACCTGACCTGCTGAAACCTTCTTTCCTCAGAGGAAAGAAGATGGGTCAGGTTCTGCTTCTCCCAGTGCTGCCCTTCTGTAACATCAAAACAATCTTCTTCCAAGCTGCCATTCTGGAGATCCTATTACCTTTATCTTAACACAGACCAGAGCTGGTTTTGTCAAACTGACACCAGCAGCAAATGCCTGGAGGAAGCAGGGTGCTATAGTTTCATTTTTCTTTATACTCATATTCGACTTCCCAGCAGCCTCTAATCTACAAAATCAAAATGAATTATAATAAAGTTCAGTGAATCTGGTCTAGTCATTCATTGCCTGGGGAGGAGTGGCCTTCAATAACAGACCTCATCATCAATATTGTGCTGTGAGTTCTTCGTTCCTATTTTGTATATCCTCCTGTAACCACCCTCCCCGTCATACACTCACGCTCCTCACCTGGATGAGGGGAGAACCTTCATTTCCTTCACTGAGATTTTGGAGGTAGTATCCTGCTCCTAAATGGAGTCAATTTCGACATGTAATCTTTGAAAATTTTCAAGGAAAACAAAGTATTCTTGGGAATATTTGGTCTTTCTCCTAAGATATATTTCCCTCATGTTGTCTGCTTTCTTTCAATGTACACTGACTCTGGGGTGACCTTTGGACCCTGCTGGGATTACAGAGAGGGTCATATTCTCCCAGTGCTACGTATTATGTAGCTTGGAGGCCCTGAGTTTGTTCTGCTCACGAGATTTTAATTAGAAATGCCATTGTTCCATAAAGAAGATATGGTGTGTATATATATATAATGGAATATTATGCAACCATCAAAAGGAATGAGATCTTGCCATTTGCAATGACGTGGATGGAACTGGAGGGTATTATCCTGAGCGAAATAAGTCAATCAGAGAAAGACATGTATCATATGACCTCACTGATATGAGGAATTCTTAACCTCAGGAAACAAACTGAGGGTTGCTGGAGTGGTGGGGGGGTGGGAGGGATAGGGTGGCTGGGTGATAGATATTGGGGAGGGTATGTGCTATGGTGAGCGCTGTGAATTGTGCAAGACTGTTGAATCACAGATCTGTACCTCTGAAACAACTAATGCAATATATGTTAAGAAAAAAAAGAAGAAGATAGCAGGAGGGGAAGAATGAAGGGGAGTA